AAACGATTCTGAAAGGAATAACCTCACAATTTTTCTATGCGGCGACAGAGGCCTTTACATACCCTTAGTAGGACTATCGATTGCATATATTCAAACCTTCCCGACTTTTAGCTCACGTAATACTGGGCGGACCTGTGCGGAAGTACCCTACTTTATTTCTCCTTTTTCTAAAAATTGACTTTATTTTCAGTTAATACTCGCACATTCTTTTTCCATGTAAACAAAGGATGTGCTTCAATCTTTTGAGAGAGAAATATATTGAGATTTAGTTTATTGATTTTGCGTTATACATATGGTACCCATATGTTAAAAAGGTTATCAGGTATCTACTTTTACCCGATACAAGTTTATACATAGGGTACCCCGTATGTTAAAAATAATAACAGGTAAATGTCTTTAATCGATACAAGTTAACTACCGATGGTTTACGAGTATCGAACAATTTGCCATATTTCCATAATAAATTTTGAAATTGTTTACATTGTTTGGGTTGCTCAATATGTGACGTCAAATTATTGATTTGCTGTCGAAGTTCTTGAGGATAACAAAGATTTCGAAGGTGTATTTGTAAATCATTACCCGATATGAAATTGGGTTTACATATGCCGCACTGATGTGAAGCTGAATCACAGAAACTACCCACCGGCATGCGGGAGTTACCACCTTACGAATGTTTGAGGTGTGTCGACGATCATTCGCATTAACAATATGGATTTTTGTTGTATGATCGTTCACACTTACAAGTGCACTAGCTGCAAATAGAGCTTTGTTACGTAACTCAATTTTCGGTTCGAATAACATTCCGGTTTTTTGTCCGAATAGGGATGGAACCGTGACGTCAACCCATGTTTCTGAATGTGGCGATAACGTTATTTGATCAATTAATAGCACAGGAAATTGAAGGTGCGGTGGTTGCGTAAAGTGAGTAACCGTATTTTGTCCAGTTGGATTTATCAGAGTTAATTGTTGATTTGGAACATCTATGATCGCATTGTTTTGCTTCAACCAGTCGTGCCCGAGTATCAAATCCGCCACGAGATTGGACGCAACGTCAGCTGAAATTAACGTTTTTTGACGGCCAACTTTGATCTCTAACTGGATTTCACCAATTATATCTAATGAAGTGCAATTTGCCATATGATTTCCGTTTGAAAATAAGTTTTTTATGATGAATCTTTTTAATAAGTTTTGGTGAATTATTGTGATTGACGATCCCGTATCGACGATCGCATGTTGCGGTAGGCTATTGACTTGAACACTGATGTAAATCGGGGAAGAGATCGTCAATAATGATGGCGTTTTATGTGTTTCGGGATCATCGCCATCTCCTGATCCCACTATTCGAAAACCTGCGGACACGTCCGAACATTGTGGCCGAATTGTCCGCATTTGAAACAGCCTGTCGGTTTTCGATG